GGCAGGCCCAGCTAGTCCGGCCCCAAAACCCCGGGTAATCGCCCTGTGCCCTGACTCCCCAGCCGGGGCAGCTCTCTTAAAGAGGTACAACTTTGTGATTACAATCGGAGGCCAGGCCCGTGGTGGCCAGCGACCAGCAGCCCCCAAATGACACGCCCTAGTCCCTGATGGACCTGCCCCGGGGAGGTGGCAGCAAAGGCACTGCCCCCAGGTTACCCGTGCGGCCAGACCATTGGTGCGGGGTCCAGTGTCCGCCATCTACTGAACCTTCCCTGGGCAGGGGCGGCCGTGCTGTGCGCACTGCCTGTTTTGCTGCAGAGGATGTGGCACCTTGTTCTAGACTCAAGCCCCCGCCTGCTGGACAGCGTGGGCCCTGGGACAAACCACTGGCCTGCCCAGCCTCAGTTTCCCTGCTTGCCACCAACTGTGGCAGCCTGCAAGAAGGGGCAGGGTTGAGAGTGGAGATGGCCAAGGAAGGTCTGTCTCCTGCAGCGCCCAGCATCGTCACCATCAGGTGATGCTGGGGTAAGGCGGGGGTGGGGGTGGGGGCTACAGGCAGCACCCCTCCCACCGTCCCTTCCGAGGCATCCGGAGAGAAAGAAAGAGCCATCTGGCGCCTCCCCATTCACACACCGTGAGCTCAGCTTCCAGATAAAAAGCTGCTGAATGGAGAGAGGGAAGCCGCCCAGCGAGCAGCGGCCAGCAGAGGCGGCTTGGTGCCTCCTGCACGGGGCTGCTGACAACTCGAGGGGTGACTGCAACACAGGCCCGCGCGTGGAGTGTTAACAGAAATGGTCCCCGCTCGGTGCTCTGGGGACCCGGGGGCTGTGTGGGGAGAGAGAGTGGGGCTTGGCCGGGCTTCCTCCCGCTCGAGGCCTATGTGGGGCGGCCATCACCTTAGCACCAGCCAGGTTTCACACCCTGCCTTGGCCTCGGCCACCAGGTGACGGACCGAGGGCCCTTACGCACCGCACTCTCGGGTCCACATGGACGCCCGGGTCTGCACACCTCCCCTCACCCCCACTGGGTAGCCTTGCCAGGCCCCCCAGACTGGGCTGTGTCATCCTGGTGGTCCCCCTTTCCTGGGGCCCAGGAGAAGCCCACCAGCCCCAAGATGAGGGAACTGGGGCCTCGGGGGGCGGGGGGGTGCGGGCACAGCCCCATGTCCCTGCCCAGCCACAAAGGGGGGCAGACTGGGCACACATGGAGCCAGTGTGGAGAAACAGAGGGACACTCAGAGGCCCAAGGACAGTGGGGCCCGTGATGGGTAGGGAAGGGCAGGGGCCAACCCTGGCCTGGGTGCAGGACACCCAGCCTCCCACTACCCTCCACAAGCTCTCCCCTCCGCTGTGCTGCACCCAGGCCCCCCCTGGGTGGGGGAGAGCTGCCGCCTTCAGGCTCTGCTTCATCGCCAGCTCCGCAGGCAAGTCCCCCAGGTGCCACACGGGAGCTTGCTGAGGCTGGGAAAGTCTGTCCGACGCCTGACGGGCGTTTCACCCAATGCTGGGCACACCCAGGGAGGGCCACAAGAGAGGGGATGTGCGGCCCAGGGACACACAGCACCGTGGGCAGGGCCGCCACGGGGCCCCTTCACCCACCACCGGGAGCCTCCCAGAGAGTGAGGTGGGGCCTCCTGAGCCAGACGGGGGCTCTCGTGCCGTGAGAGGGGAGGGGGTGACCAAGCCTGGCTGGGGTGGGCGGAAGCTGCAAAGGTGCAGTGTGCACCGGCCCCCAGAAGGTCCCAACTGCCCAGGGCTGGGCAGGGAGCAGCCAGGTTCTGAACTGAGAGCAGGGGCCGGCGAGGTCTGCGGAGCCGACCCTTCCAAGAGCGGCTCCTGGGTTCCTCTGGGTACCACCCCACATGCCAGGCCCGGTGCCAGCCACCTCAAATGCAGGTCCTATGGCCTCCAGCAGAGGACTCCACGTCTGGGATGCCCGCCTGGGAGGGGGGTCATGTTCGCCCTCCAATGGTGACCACAGGGTCAAGGCAGACGATGTTATTAGGAAAGCGCTCGGCTAGAGACTGGCACACGGCTAGAGACCAGCGCCCGCCTAGGCCCTGTCCATGCTTCATGGGCCTGCCCCCCGGGGCTGCGGCCAGACCGTTCACCCAGAGAGGGGAACCACCCCCCCCCCACCCCCGCTGGAAGGTGACGGGGCCGCGTCTGGCCCCGGAGATGGGGACAACCAGCCCCGTTGTTGCCGTGTCCTCAAGCCACCTGTGCGGGTGAGGCCGCCGCCCCACGGCCCAGCCCAGGACAGCCCAGCACGAGCTGGTTTCAGGTTGCTTTCTTAGAAGCCTCAGCCGGAGCGAGAACAAAGCTGAACTTTAGGAGAAAAGAATAAAATAAAGGCTTGGCTTACACACCCAGGACTGTGAAAGCAGGACGTGCCGAGGGCCGATCCGTGCGCAGTG